TGTGTGTGTGTGTGTGTGTGTGTGTGTGTGTGTGTGTGTGTGTGTGTGTGTGTGTTGTCATTTGAGTTTACACTGGAGTGGTTTCTTCCTAGGCTGGACTGGATCTAGGTGGGAATCTCTGGTCTTTGGGTATTCCCGCCCCCAGTGCTCCAAAGACTAAAATCTGGGGTCATAAGGGGCTATGCTTATTCTTGCCTGCAGGTGGCGCTCAGGGAGCCAAGTCATCCGTTCCCTTTTCTCCTCTCCTGATTCCTGCTCTTCCCCTCACCTGCTAAGGCGTCTATGAATTCCATCAGTGGGACCTCGCCACTGACATCCTACTACCACTTCCTCCCCTCTGAGGCTTCTCTGGGGTCTCTAGAAGATGCTGGGTCCAGCAGAGGTGGGCCAGCCTTCTCTGCAGAACAATAGTGGCTAGACACTAGGAAGAACTTCCTGAAGTAAAACAATTGGGCCTTGGGGAAGGTATTGGGAGAAGGGGCCCTGTGGAGGATTTGATGCAAACTGGACAGTGTCTCTAGGAACCAGAGAGGGTAGAAGGGTATATATACTTCCCAGTGTTACTCAGACCTGGAGATAGGGACTCTACCAGAGAAGTGGACTACGGTTTCGGGGGGAAGGGGCACAAGACAGTCACCCATTTTTCTGGAGAGAGGGCCAGAGACAGCCTTATATTAAGTAAGAAACATTTAACCTGAGGATCCCTCAACACTTGGGATGGGAAGCATGAACCATTTGCTAGCCTGTCTTGAAGCTTGTAGGCTCTAAAATTCTGTGGGCTGCCCACGACAGGCCAGGTTGCCTTCCCAGGTCCTGATGGATGCTTGGACCATCTCTGGGGGATGAGGCTGGCAGGTAGCTGCAAGGGATGCCAGGCATTCACTAGGGAAGTACAGAGCATGGCCTTGGGAGGTGTGGGACTCAGGGAGCCTGGTCCAGCCCCGGGGAACCCAGGCACCTCTCAAGGAGCAGTCTACGGACTAACTTGACAGAAGGGAGGGACACAGGCTAGGTAGAGCAGAGCATCTCTGTGCATGGTACAGTGGCTGCAAGGCCGCTTCCTGTGGGAGAGCATATGACTCAGCTGTCCTCTTCCCCCAGCTCCTGGCCACCAAGGTTTTCTGAAACTTGCTGCCTAGGTGAGCCCTCCTTTCCCAGCCTGACTGGCTCAGCTCCCTCTGGACAGCTGAGTGGGTGTACCTAGGCTGGGCTGTCCAGCACATTATATAAACACACCTTGCCCGCGCTCATATAAATGCACACACATGTGTGTAGACTTGGATTACACAGAATGAATGCAGTCACACAAAGGGGCACATGCCTGCTCCACCTCCTCATCTCAGAGACGGCCACCAGGTGCCCTCATTTGCCCACCAGTCATTGCCTGTGGCCTTCTGTCCCTGCTGATTAAGGGTCTCCTCCTTCTCTCCTTGCCATTGTGTCCCCCTGAAATCACAGATGCCTCTAATCAGGACGAGATGAGGCCTGAACCACAACTCTCAGCAATTCACTTGGGCTCTGTCTTCCAAGATGCCAGCCTTTGGTGCCTGAGCTTAACCTAGCCCATGCCAGCAGGGAACCAGACCTTGTAGTGTCCTTCTCGGAGTCCTCTACTAGAGGGCTTGTTTGGGCTGAGAAGAATGAGAGGAGACTTGTGTGAGGACCCAGGCAGGTGGCTGCAGGCCTCTGCCGAAGGGCCACTGGGGACAGGCTGGCATGGAGGCAGGGGCCCAGTGTGTTGACACCCCGATTTCTTCCTAGACCTTCCTTCCGACAGAGGACAGCCAGACCCTGCTACGGCTCTCCCTTGTGTTGGTTGTGATGCCTCTGGGCCAGCGGTGCCTTTTCCAAAGCTAGGGGTGGGGCAAGCTCAAGTCTAAGGAGCTTTAGAGCAGTGGTTCTCAACCTGTGGGTCAAGACCCCCACGGGGGGGCGTGTCCTGCATATCAGATATTCACATTACGACTCAAAACACCAGCAAAATTATACTTAGGAAGTAGTCACGGAATAATTTTATGGTTGGAGTCGCCACAACATGGGGAACTGTATTAAAGGGTTGCAGCATTAGGAAGGTGGAGAACCACTGCTCTAGAGACTACTAGGCCACCTGGAAGAGGCCCAAGCCTTACCACCTCTCCAGGCATTTTAGGGACCTGTTTGAGGAGTCCGCAAATGGTGTTTGTTGATGGCCTTGGGGATGGTTGCCTGACAAGACGTTGGACAATGCCCTCACTTGCCCCTTTTCCTGTGTCTCACTGGGACCTCCTACATTCTTAATAACCAGTCCAGAAATGTTCCCGCTTGGTCCCCTACCTTAGTTAACTCTGGTTCTCGGCCCTTTTTCCTGCCTCCTCCTTGGCCTCTTTTGGCCCCCAGCCTGCAAGTGAGCCCCTGGCTATCTGGTGGCTCATTTAAGGGACAGCTCTGTGGCAACACTGCCACTGGCCCCCATGGCTACCTTCTGCCCCTGGAGTAGACATTGGGAGCCTATGTCCCTGTCCAGGACTCAAGGAGTAGTTGGCCATGCTACAGGAGTTGACCAGGGACAAGAGTCAGCCGGTGCCCTGGGTTCCTGGGATGGTGGTGAGTGAGGACAAGGCAGGGATCCTCTGTGGACCTTACTGGCCATCTGTGAAGTGGATCCAGAGCAAGAGCCCCGGCTCTCTGCTGCAGTGACAGACTGCAGGGCCAGGGCAGTGTGCGCCGTGTCTTGTCCTTCCAAGAACCGAGATGAGCTTGTTTCTCACCAAGCTGACCCTTGGAGGCCAATGCCACAGTCCGCATGGCCCTAGGGACACCACCGATACCCCCACGCTCCCTGGCTAAGCTGCCCATTTTCCAGAAGGGATGCCAGGGGCCTGAGGGTGCTTTTATTTGACCTCAGATCTGGAGGTGGGTCTCCAGAGGCAATGCTCTCCTCTGAGGAGGGAGCCCAGGAGTCAGTGGTCCTTCTAAGCTATGTAGGCCCCTTGGTAAAAGGCAGCGGATTTGGGGGTGATCACAGCCATGAGTTGTGGCTCCCAAGATGGCCTGGGCTTCCCAGGTGCTTGGGCTGAGCAGAATGAGGGTGGCTGGCCTGGGGTTGGGTAGCGACACCATGGGAGGCTGTGCCAGGCTTGGCTGAGTGCTTCCTCTAGACCTTACCAACATTGACCTCTGCTTTTCAGGGGCGGGGGAGAGTATGTTCCTGGGGTGGGGCTCTGCTGAGGGACGGGCATCAGGAACAACAGAGTGAGGGGCGGACTGTGAGACCCTGGCCAGAGCTTCTCTGGTTCTATAATGGGGAGGATGGTCAAGGAGGCAGTGTGAGGCCGCATCAAAGGTCACCCCTAAGGGTGTTTACCTCGGAGCTGGCAGAGGTAGGGGTAGGAGACATGGGGAGTACTTTTCAGGGTGCCTGGGGGTACCAGGGTTGAAAGTTAGCAGTGCAGGTTTGGACGTTTTCAAGACCACAATCAGGCTGGAGTGTGCGTCTGTGCTTTGCCCCTCCTTCTGGGAACAGTTGGGGTCCTGCCCATTCTGTAGATCCACAAACAGAGGCTCCTCTATGAGGACTGTCCAGCTTCAGGCATCCTGACTTCCAGCAGCTCAGAACCTCCACCCAGGCTGGGCCTGGGCCTGGAGGCTGCTGCCTGCCCAGGAGGCAGTCCAGGAAGGATGCCAGGATGAGACGCAGGGCTCTGACTGACCTTGAATCGCTGGTCAGTTTGGGCCCAGGCTGCAAGGAGAGTCCCTGGGGTGGGGACAGGCTGCTACACATGCAGGGTCAGCAGAGTCAATGTGTCTGCAGCCAGAGGCTGAGAGGGCAAGGAAGGAGGGCCTTGGCTATGACCTCCCTTCTTCCCCTACTGGCTCAGCTGTGGAGGGACAGTGGGGAGGGACACTGAGATCTTCAAGGAGGCAGGTCTGGGCTGGGTGGCACACAGCAAGCCTGCTGATCCCAAACTAGCTTTCGAGTCCTTGCCCTCAGGAGTGCACAGGGAATCACCCAGTGGTGCCACTCCTGAAGATGGAGGTATTCCCCAGAGGCACCCTTCATGGTCAATCCAGGGGTTGGGTTGTAGTCTATTACCCACTCCCTGTGACCTTGAGGAAGCCACCCACATATTCTCTTTGCCTCAGCTTCCCCATCATGAAATACGGGGCACCTGCGTGGCCACTCAGAACTGGAGGTGAGGTGAGGACCCAAGAGGCAGGTAGTAGAGTGAGGAAAGGAATCCCCAGCTGAAGTGGCTGGTACAGGGACCGCCATGGATGGGAAGCAGGCCGCGGGTGCTGAAGCCCTTCATCTCCAGGGCTGCATCTCACCTCCTCTCATGACAGTCCATACCCGTTCCAAGTCTATGGAAAGGTATGGGGGTCTGTTGGGAGCCCTGGAGATGCCGTGGTGAACCCCGCCCCCTTCCCTGTCGGTCTGATTGGCAGATTCTCGGGAAGGAGGGAGGCCACTGAGAAGGACGTGAAGGTCAAGAGAGGGTCGGAGGGAGCCAGGCCTCTACTCCTGGGGGCCCCAGAGGGTGTGAGCAGATCCAGGGCCCATGATTAACCAGGCGTGGCCAGGAGAGGCCTGAAGAACACAGCTTGTCCTCGCTCAGGAAGGGAGAGGCGGTACAGTGTCCCCTGGGTTGGACCACTGGGGGAGACAGATGAGCAGGTGGACAGAGCAAGTGCCCGGGAGGACACCAGGGCCATATACTGCTCAAAGCCTCATGCCTCACTAGACTTACTGAATTCCTGCCTCTATTAAGTCCTGAGCCCATGCCCGCAGAGACTTACGCTATCCCTTCTGCTTTTTCTTCTAGCTGCCATTGGAGGCCACAGGCAAACATCAGGAGCCTGGACGTTAGGAGGAGTCATCGCTGCAATCACTGTATCCTGAAGCCCTGCCCTGTGCCCGCCCACCTTGGCTTCACCCAGACCCTGCCTCTTGCCCACTGCCCTGGACGGCCCTGCCTGCTGCCGGACCCTGGCATGTCAAGGCCTGGCCTGCACTTGCCTGCCCAGCCCGCGGAACCCCAGCGGCCCCGCGAGCTAGGATGAGGGGCCAGGCTGCCGCCCCGGGCCCCATCTGGATCCTTGCTCCACTCCTGCTGTTACTCTTGTTACTGGGGCGCCGGGCACGTGCTGCCTCCGGGGCAGACATAGGGCCTGGGGCGGAGCAGTGCACCACGTTGGTGCAGGGCAAGTTCTTCGGCTACTTCTCGGCGGCTGCTGTGTTCCCAGCTAACGCTTCACGCTGCTCCTGGACCCTCCGCAACCCGGACCCTCGTCGCTACACGCTCTACATGAAGGTGGCCAAGGCACCCGCACCCTGCAGTGGCCCCGGCCGCGTCCGTACCTACCAGTTCGATTCCTTCTTGGAGTCCACCCGCACCTACCTGGGTGTGGAGAGCTTTGACGAAGTCCTGCGGCTCTGCGATCCCTCCGCCCCCCTCGCCTTCCTGCAGGCCAGCAAGCAGTTTCTACAGATGCAGCGCCAACAGCCACCCCAAGATGGGGACCTTGGCCCCCGGGGCGGGTTCCCGAACTCTGGTGACGACTTCTCTGTGGAGTACCTGGTCGTGGGCAATCGCAACCCTAGCCACGCTGCTTGCCAGATGCTGTGCCGCTGGCTGGATGCCTGTCTCGCGGGCAGCCGCAGCTCGCACCCCTGTGGCATCATGCAGACTCCCTGTGCCTGCCTGGGTGGAGATGCTGGAGACCCTGCTTCCAGCCCCTTGGTCCCCCGTGGGGATGTCTGCTTGAGGGACGGCGTAGCCGGTGGCCCTGAGAACTGCCTCACCAGCCTGACCCAGGACCGGGGTGGGCACGGCTCAGCAGGTGAGTGGTGGGAAGAGGCCCCTGCACGGTGCTGCAGCGGTGGGAGTAATGGCATGAGGGAATGTGCAACCCCCACCCCCACCCCCCAAGGCCAGAGTCCGTCCAGCGCCACCTTTGTCGTCTGGGTTGAGAGACCATGGGTGGAGTTCAAGTTCACTGATGACTCTCTGTGCCCAGGGTAGGGAGCTAGCTAGCCCACACAGGGTGCCATGTGAATGAAGGAAGGAAGGAAGAAATGATCCATAGCCAGTCTCCTCAGGCCACTTCCTCAGTTTAAATCCCCCACTGTGGGAAGACACTACGTAGCCTCAATGACCTCTCCAACCATCCCAAGGCTGTGATAGCTGGTGTCTAGGGACTGAAGTGGAGGTCATTGCTGCCCCAGGGTGGAGCATGGGAACATGTATAGACAGAGTATTCATAGGGCCGTTGCCAGGAGGTAAGGTTTGGGGGTTCAGTGTAGCATGCCTACAGCGGCTGCCACTGAAGTGTAGCAATGAGAGCAGGGACAAAATGCCATCCTGGTCTGGTGGCCACAGGAAGGAGGATGATACACCACCCAACAATACACAACCATCTCAGGCAGAACCAGGGTGTCAAGGACACTTAGAAATCCAGTGCTGAAGGGGCCACTGTCTTAATTCAAGGCTAGAGAGGTCCCATGGGCTGGAGACCTGAGGACAGTGGCCCTTGGGAAAGGATGGCAGGGCCCAGGCTTGATGGGGATAGGTAGGGTTGACAACTAGTCATATCTTTGTGAGTGTCCTGCCTATTACTGGGGGCGGGTTGGGCCCTGCCTGCTGCAACCTGGAAGAAAGAGGGGTAGGGGCATCCAAGATTCGAGCTGGAGACCTGAGCTGAGTCAACATCAAAGGGACACTGGGGTATGAGAAGTCGAGACTGTTCTCCACCCGGTGTGCAGGGCCAAGGCAAGGCTTAGCTGAGGACTTAAGGCCAGGAGAGCCAGAGTGGGATGGTGATGCCCTTAGAGCATCCAGTAGCCTTAGTATTTCTGAGACCGTGAGGTCATGCAGGGCTGCAAAAGGAATTTTCCAACCCCGAGCACATTCTGGTCAAGGCCCCGTGGCAGGTCTCAGGTCAGGACCTCTGTGAAGCTGAGGTTGGGCTGACCTCTCCAGGGTCCTCAGGGGAAATTCTGCACACATCATTGTGGTGGGAAGGAGGGTGGAGGACCGGCCTGCCTTCCTGCTGGGTAAGCTGGAGGTCATTGTGACCTTGACAAGGGCAGGTTTCATTGTGCGGCTGGAATGGGAGTGGGCTCAAGGGGAAGCCTGGAAGAATGGGGTACTCACTGGAGGACTAGAGAAATTGGACGGGAGGACAGGGCCAGCTGTCACAAGCGGATCTGGCCATGCGCCCTCCTCTGCCACTCCCCATCCTTTAAACTGCCCTGAGCCTTGGTTCCTTCATCTACAAAACGCTTCTCAGGGTTGCAACATCGCCTTGGTTTTATCTGTCTCTGACTGGGGCCACAATCATACCACTTGGGCAGGAGCCTGTCCTCTGTGGCATCCTGGGGCAGCTGCTGTGCCAGGGAGCATCTGAATGCTGCTCCAAGCACCTTGGCACAGGTGCCAGCAGCCAAGACCTCTGAGGCTGGTGTGATTACTGCTGGGATCACCAACTGGAGGGTCTTGTGTGCTATGAGGCTGGAGGAAGTATTGAGCTGCAATTATTTCCTGAGGACCTACTATGTGAGGGCCTTGCTGCAGAAGCTGTGAAATGGCCAGGCCCCCTCTGTCAAGTGTTTATATGACCTTGAGAGCAAAAGGACTTTGGGAGGGCTCAGTGCAAAGGAATGGTGTACCTGGGCTCCTCACAGGAGCCAGGGTAGGGAGGCGGCTGGCCTTGGCCTGGTCAGGGTGCCATGAGAAGGGGGAGGGACTGTGGATGAAAGAGTGTGGGTGTGGAGGCAGGAAGAGCAAGCCTGGCCTCCAGGATCCTGTCAGGAACAAGGACATCCATGTGGGGCAGAGGAAGCAGGATTGTGAGATGCAGCTTGAGGGCGATTCTGATGTCAGAGTAGGACTTGAGATGTTTGTGACGCAGGTCATGGGTTATGTGAGCACAGCTCTGGCACCGGGTGAAAGGGAACAGGCCCAGACTAGAGCAACGGCCTTGGAACCCTACTTTGGAGCCTTGGGTCTGACCCTGGCCCACATGCGTTCCTAGGCCAGCCCCTCAGTTCTCATCCCTGGAGGCCTGAGAATGCCTCCTTCTGTCTCCGTGAGGATAAGAAGTGGAACGAAGCAGCCAATGATGAAGAATCAGTGTCCTTGTTTATTGCTAGGCAAACTCCTGGGGCCTGGGAGCAGAGGCTGCCAGAGGCAGGGATGTATGCAAGTTGAGCTTAGGCAGTTTGGGGTATGTGTATGGATTCCAACCATGTTGGCAAGTGGTACTCAGAGGCCAGCAAGAGGTATATGTGCATGAGTGTATATGCATGTATTACACGTGTGTGTGTACAAGTACAGTGCACTGTTTATGTACACACATTCACATTTATGCATATGTGTTTGGTGGCTACACCCACGTATGTAGACATATACATAAGTAGAGTGTGTTGTGTGCCTATGTGTTCATGAACTCACACGCAGACATGTATAACGCATGGAAACCTAATGGGTATACTGATTATTATGTTTGCAATTTTTGCATATGTGTGTGCACTATCATGTATGTATGTGTCAGCACTCTGTGAATCCACATATGTCCTTGTTTATTGCTAGACAGACTCCTGTATATGAATGGGTACATGTACACATGTAGCACATTGTGTTCATGCTTGAACACGTGCAAAAAACGTGTACATGTATGAATACATGGGTGTTCATGCAGCACATTGTGACTGTGTTTGTGTCTGTGGGTGTATATGTGTGTACATGGTATATATGTACCACGCACTGAGCATGTATGTTCACATGTGTATGGTGAGTGTGTGCATGTGTATCCAGGGTAGCCTCCATCTGTTTGACTTGCATAGGTTGCTGATCTTTTGGAAGATGGTTTGGAGAACACAAAGACCAGGCCCCAGTGTATGGGGCAGGGAGCGTTCCTGTGGGTAGGGTAGACCGTGGCCATCCAGATCAGATCAGGTGCCTGTGTCCTGTGTGCCCTGTGTCCAGAAGACTCTGCCACTTCCTGCCTGTGGGAGGGGAAGGAGCCCACTGGTGACATCAGTGGCTGGTCACTGAGTGCTGACTGTTCCGCAAGTGTCACATATGGATGAGTTCTCCCTTCACATGGCCATGAGTCAGGCCCCAGCAGAGGCTGTATCTGCCTTGCTCACACCTTCATAGGGCCTGTGCCTCCCCAGGACGCCCTCCCTAGGCCGTCCTAAACAAGGCTCTTCCCTGGAGCCCTGCTTCTGTGTGTCCTGCCCAGTGAGGCAATTTATCCCTTTCTGCCTTCCCTGGCAAGTATATAATTTTGGTGCCTGTCCTGAACCTCACTCTCTAGCCCAGGCTGGCCTCGAACTCACAGAGATCCGCCTGGCTCTGCCAGATTAAAGGTGCGCATCACCGCCGCCTGGCGGCAGGTATCACTTTCAAACATGCCATAGAACTCCCCCAGTGGGCCTCTTGCTCACTGTCTGTCTGTGTTAATATGTGAGCACAACAGATGATGGACCTTTGCCCCATTCACTGATGCTTCCCGAGTGTGGAGGACAGAACCAGGCCCAAAGCAGGTACTCGGCACATGCTTGTGAAACCAGGCCCAGCGATATCAAGGTAGGTCGGGTCACATAGCTTGTAACAGCAGACTAGTGGGTGGCATCGTGTACCCTGAGCTCTACTTCGGGCGGTGGCATTGGCTAAGGACTCAAGTTGGACAACCCTTCAGCAGAGAGGAATCTGTGCCAGGGATGTGTAGCGGGTGCCTCGTACCTGCCTCTGGGCACAGGGCCTTTGCCCTCACTGTCTTTTGGGAGCAGGCAAGCCCGTCCCCTCCTAAGGCAGGCGATGTGTCGCCGAAATGGGCCCACTGAGTGTGTGGCCCACTTTCGGCCCTGCCCCCCCGCCAGGCCTGTCCAAACGCCACATGGCGGTGTCACGCGTTGGATGCCATGAGCACTCCTCGGGCTAGGGCAACTGTTCCTGCTGCCCTAGCCTCTCTCAGGCTGCCAGGCCCTGGCACCCACCCTCATCTTGCACAATCTCCAGCTCCCTGTCTCCCTCTGTTTCCTCCTCCATCCCTCTCCCATCTCTGCCTCTGGTAAGATGGACCATTTCTCTCAAGGGTTGCTTTAAATATTCATGTTTTAATTAAAGAATATTATTACAGAAGTGACATGTGAGATAATGAAAAAAGCAGCATTCTGGGCGTGGGGGCCTGTGAGTTCCTGTGAGTGTGTGTACCTGTGAGTGTGTCTCTGTGTGTCACTGTGTGTGGTCCCCGTATCCTGTGAGCCCCTGTGTGTGTGGCTCTGGAACCACACTGGGAGTGTGTCCTGTGTGTGAGTCTCTGTGAGTGTGCTCTTCTGTTAACATGAGTCCCTGTGAGTGTGCCCTCTGAGCCCTTGCAAGGGTGTCCCTATGAGTGTGTCCCTGTGAGAGTGAGTCCCTGTGAGTGTGTCCTGTGAGTGTGAGCCCCTGTGAGTGTGAGTCCCTGTGAGTATGTCTCAGTGTACCCCTGTGAGTGTGTGTCCATGTGAGCTTCTGTGAGGGTGTTCTCATGAGTCCCTGTGAGTGTGTCCTGTGAGTGTTTCCTGTAAGTGTGCCCCTGTGTGTCTTCATGAGTCTATATGTCCCTGTGCGTGTGTCCCCATGTGTGCCCACGTGTTTCCATGAGCGTGTCCCTGTGTTTCCCTGTGCGTATCCTTGAGTGTGTGTGTCTCTATGAGTGTGTTACTGTGAGTGTATCTCTGCGTCCCTGTGTGCGTTGCTGTGTGTATTCTAGCATACATATGCGTCCCTGTGTAAATGTAGTGTTAAATGTGTCTGTGTGCACATGCCCGAGGTAGAAGGCTGGGTTGAATCTGCATGTCAAGTGTGTACACATGCTACACTTGCCTGGGGGTCCTGCAGGGCTCATGACCTGCCCACAGACTAGAGCTGGTTCTCTCACGGTGTGTGCAGCCCTGGTCCCACTTGGCCAGTGATCCTCCAATCTTTGTGAAGCTCAGTCCCCCAGGACACCCCAGAGAAGGGAGGCAGCATGCAGAAGTCGAGGCTAGGCTTGGGGAGAGCCCCTAGTTGCGGTTTGGGCTGCAGTGGAGTTGTGGGGGTTATAGAGAGGCACCGGGGTACACCGGGGTATACCATGGAGATTCTGGCAGTGTGAGTGTCTCTCTCTCTCTTTCTTTCTCTCTCTCTCTCTCTCTCTCTCTCTCTCTCTCTCTCTCTCTCTCTCTCTGTGTGTGTGTTTATGTGTACGTTTTAGAATAATCTAGAAATCTGGCTTCAGTGCACATCACAGACAATACTTCTACAAGTAAAGAACAAGGCAAGGCCCTGCGGAAATGCTGGGTGTGGGCACCATCCTCCACAGGGAAATTCCCATGAGCCTTAGCTCTTACTGTGTCACCTGCCTCAGCTCAGGGCCAGAACTGCAAGAAGTCCTTGCGGCCCGAACTTGAGTCATGCTGTCCATGATGATGGGGGGGGGGGGGCTGCGGCCTCCGTGACACACTCTGATAACTGAGGACAGAGGTCACTTGTCTAAGGTCTCCAGCATGCACTAAACATTTGGGGCCTTGATTTAAGATACCTTCTCAGGACGGGGGACACCCAGCAGCAAGAATTTCCTACAGATGTGGCTTGCTTGATCTTCAAGTGCCTCGGTTCCCCCCACCCCACCCCCGGAGAACTGGGGTTGGGATGGTACTCATTTGTAGCATCTGCCTGAGGCCTAGGGGGCTGTGCAGCTGTAGGATCAGGTTCAGGGAGGCCAGTGCTCCACAGCAGAGAGTGAACTTGGCCACTCAGTCTGTCCTGGGATCCGATTGCCCTTCTGTGGCCCTGACAGTTGCTGGCAGCCTGCAGATGGTGTCTGAGTCAGGAGCTGCCGGGCGAAGGGCTGTGGAGGATCTGTGTGGACAGGTTCCTCCTCAGGATCCAGGAGTTCTAGACCCGGCTGTTGGTACCAGTGCCTAAGTACTTTATGGTAGTCTTGCTCCAGCTGGGTCCCTGGAGAGGCAGGGGTCTTGCTAAAGCCACCTGGGCAGGGACTGTCCCTGGACCTGCCATAAGAATCTGGAGAGCTGAGTGGCAATGTATGTGACCCAATCTGCTGCTCAACCTGCTGGAGTAGGGATCCCTCTGCTGGGAGAAGGTGGAAGTGCATGGTTTCCTTCCTCCAAAGGGGATCCCGGGAACTCCGGAGAGACCGGCTGGGGGGAGGGGGATCTCCTTCCTTCCCCCCATTTCAGCCCACTTGGGGTGAAGGATCAGGGGAACCCACCACCCTCAAACCAGGGCATTAGGGTGGGAAGGGTACCAGAGCCCCCTCACTGCACACACACACACACACACACACACACACACACACACACACACACACCCTTCCTCCTGGGTGGCCGGCCTGCCTTGGCCAATAATTGGCTCTATTCATGCCTGTAATGAGATGGAAATGAGGCCGCCAGACAGAGGGAGCATTGAGCAGGAAAGAATGACAGCTTCTTTCCGGGCCTGGAGGGGCAGCCCACCCCTGAGCCCTGCCTGCTCCTCCGCTGCCCCCTTGTGCCCACAGCCCTGATGCACCTCTGTGTCCCCCGGTGCCCTTCGCTTCGGCCCCAGGACTTCTGCCTCCATAATGCTCCCTCTGGCATGGATGCTTTCAATCTGGGCAAACATTTATCATGTCAGCTGTGTGTGAGGACACACATTAAAAATGAAAATGATAATAAAAACAGCAGTTACCATTTTCTGAACATTCATTAGTGGAAGGAGTGGGGCCAGCACTGGGGAATCAGTCTGTGGCTGAGAGCAGGGCCCAGTTTGTGGTGGAGGATCAGGGATCCTGTGCCTAAGATCCTAGGTCTAGGATAAGAATCAGGGCTAAGAGTTACCAAGGCCAGGTGTTGGTCTGTGAGCAAGGCGAGAAACCAGTATATGTCTAGGATCAGGGATTAGTATACAACCAGAGTCAGGACTCAATGTAGGAATAGGGTTAGGAGTCCACATGTGGCCTGGATCAGGGTTCAGTGGGACCAGAGTCAGGGCTGGGCCAGAGGAGGGCATACATCCTCTCCCCCAGCTTCTGATAGGCCCCACCTCTCTCCTCCCCTCCCCCTCCCACATCTTCACCACCTGGGTCACCAAGGTAACCAGCCCCGAAATAGTGGGTGTTTTGGCAGCTGAGGCCTAACCTGGGTCTATCCTGAAAGGCTGTGCGCTGCAGCAGTTGCCATGGGAACTGAGTGGCATCCTCCGATTAGCCCAGCTTGGACACCCTCTCTCCCACCCACTGCCGGTTTTCACATCACTCAGGCTTCCTTGTGGGGGCTGGGCTGGGGCAGTGAGGGGGGCACAGGAAGGGTACAGAACCCTGACCCCACCCTGGGCCTGCCTCAAAGACTCCTGGCTCCTTTGTCTGGCATCATGAGACCTAGCGGTGACAGGTGAGACTCCCGAGGCCAGAGAGCTGGACCGTGCTTGGCCCCGGCAGGTGGCCTTCCTGGGGCTGGTGGGTAGGGCAGAGATTGAGAATCAGATTTGGTTCAAGACCTGGAGTCTGACCTGGTTGAGAGCTGCTCCTGCTTGTCCTGAGTTAAAAGCATGTGACCGGCAGCCTCCGAGCGGCCGGCCACCTGGGCCCGTTCTGTGGACAGCTGCTGTCCTCTCCTACCTAGTCCTCACGTGAGGCTGCGCAGGAGACTCTCTGCCCTCTGCTCTCAACTGTGTCTTGGTGGGGGTGTCACGCTTACCTCTTCCTGTACCCTTGCTGTGCCCTTGCCCCCACCCTCGGGGCTCTCCCGGTGAAAGGGAAGATAGTATTGCTGCAGAATCCTCTGTGCTTATAACTATCACTCAAACCCTGACTCCCTAGCTCGACGCCTCGGGAGAGGCGGGGTTTTAGGGCCTCTGCCACAGGCATGGGGTCATGGAAGATGGCCCTTCCCGTCCTACCCATCTCAGAAGGGTGAGCGCTCACTAGGGGGCCACTCGCTCCCTGGAAATCCAGCGCCCCCTGCTGGTCCAGCCAAGCACAGGCAAGGGGAGATGGGCAGGCTCTGGCTGTGGTCCTTACCTATACCCTGGGAGTTGGCTGTCCTTGAGATGATAAGGCCAAGGAGATGGTTCGTGGGGCCATCGGGTGGGATGTCTCACACTCTGGAACCTACCATCTCCGAGTTCTCACCTCAGGAGATGGGGCCTATTCCCTCAGCACTCAGGCCAAGGGGTAGCCCTGAGTGTCCTGGACTTACTTTTCCTGGCCTTGCTTAGTAGGTAGGCAGATGTGTAGTCTAAGGAAGGTTTCTGGGCTACTGGTTATGGGAGTGGCTACTCCCTATGCCAGGCTCTGAAGCAGACATGTGGAGGCCTTGGCAGTGACCTCACATGGACAGGAATGTGAGGAAATAGTCTCAGGGCTTGAGGACCACGGGGAGGCTGGATCTATGTATTTCTGAATGGTGGCCCACGCTGGTCACCAGGCCTCACACTATGAGGCAGCGTGGGGTGAGCAGGAGCTGATTGTTTACTCCGAAAGGCAGCCTGGGACAGCAGTGGGTACTTATTCCAGACCTACCTAGTAACTCCTGGCTCAGGGCTGACACAGGCTGTCTAAAAGGATCCTGGACCTAGGGGCAAAAAAGTTCCCCATGGCCTTGTCCTGCCTTGCTGTCTTCCCTGGCCAGACCTGGCCTCTGCTTACTCTTTCAAAGCCCACCGCTACCCCTTCTGGCCTCTACTGGACCCCAAAGATGGCAGGACCCTGAGCCTCTCTCTCTCTCTCTTGTTCCCCCAGGTGGCTGGAAACTGTGGTCCTTGTGGGGTGAATGTACTCGGGACTGCGGGGGAGGTCTGCAAACTCGAACCCGCACCTGCTTGCCCACCCCTGGCGTGGAGGGCGGAGGCTGTGAGGGCGTTTTGGAAGAAGGACGCCTGTGCAACCGCAAGGCCTGTGGCCGTGAGTGGGCAGGGCTAGGGTGGTGCTGAAGTGGTGGCTAGGTCCAATCAGGGAAGGAGTCAGGGCCGGGCTGCATGGGGCAGAGTAGGGATGCTGCCAGGGCTTCAATGGGAAGAGGGTAGGCGGGGCTGGCAGGGCTTTGAAGAGGTGATCGTGGTTGGAGACAGGGGTGCTTAGAGGTGGAGACTTGAAAGCCCAGTCTGGTCCAGACCCAGGAGGAAGCCGGGTACCTGGAACTGGGTGGGACTATCAGATGTGGGCTAGGATTCTTGATGCTGCCCCACAAGCTAGCTGCAGCCAAGCTAGTCCGCTCCAGCAGGATAAGCCTCCGGGATGTATTTCTCTAATAAGGCTTTCTAATGACCTCATGCATTTTTTAGCTGCTACCATAAAGTTAAATCAAGTTCTAATGAGACTGCCATTCTTCAGGTTTGCTTTGGTTTTGTTTTGGATGCACTTTCCTGAGGAGACAGCTCTTCTCAGGAGCCTGGGGAGGCCCCTGTGTATCTCACAGGGAGGAAGGGATGGGATGTTGGGTAGGAGGCAGCAGACACTCTAAGGAGTTGTTCTGCAGGTCACTACCTGCCTGCAGTCCCGGAGGCTGAGAGGGAGGAGAGGCGGGGTCCTCACAGAGGGGCCCATAGTGACCAGAAGAGAGTTGGTGCCATGGGAAGTGCTCTGGGTGGGGTCTCCCTCTTGTCCCTCGGGGATAGACTGCTCTGGTGACAGTAGGTAGCCAGCTGTGGCCAAGGACAGAGGGAATCCCACAGGGTTGCTGACCTGAGCCCATCCCGCAGCCACGGGACGCACCAGCTCCCGGAGCCAGTCCCTGCGGTCCACGGATGCGCGGCGGCGCGAGGAGTTCGGAGATGAGCTGCAGCAGTTTGGGTTCCCATCGCCCCAGACTGGTGAGCTGGCAAGATGGGTAGGGCTGGCCTCCACACAGCCCTCGGCAGGGAGGGGAGAGGGCTGGCGTCTGGGACCAGGCTAGTCACGGCTACTAGTCGCCAGTAATAATTCTAATAACTAACTGCTCATCTCATCTGGTCGGTGCCAGACTCCTGCTCCAGGCAGACTGGCTTAGGGGAGCTGATACGGAGAATAGAAGCCGGTCCCAGCCAGACCCAGATCCTGGGGCTTTCAGCCTTTGGGCTAGTAGGCTATCCCAGAGCCCCAGCCCGTGGCCTGTTGCCCCACAGCAAGGTCCTGCCTCCCCAGTGGGCCTCCAAATCTGGCACCGCCCTATGGGAAGGGGCATGGCAGGCCCATGATGCTGCAGGGCTGGACCCACAGGTGACCCAGCAGCCGAGGAATGGTCCCCGTGGAGCGTGTGCTCCAGCACCTGCGGCGAGGGCTGGCAGACCCGCACCCGCTTCTGCGTGTCGTCCTCCTACAGCACTCAGTGCAGTGGGCCTCTGAGGGAGCAGCGGCTCTGCAACAACTCCGCTGTGTGTCCAGGTGGGCGGAGCAGAGCACAGGGCGGGGCTTTGGGGGATGGGGCGGAGCTTTGGTGGTGGGGCGGGGCCTCTGGGCTAGGGACAGCTAAGGCTTCCTGTCTCTCCACAGTGCACGGGGCCTGGGATGAGTGGTCACCTTGGAGCCTCTGCTCCAGCACCTGTGGCCGTGGCTTCCGTGACCGCACACGCACCTGCAGGCCCCCACAATTTGGAGGCAACCCCTGTGAGGGTCCCGAGAAGCAAACGAAGTTCTGCAACATTGCCTTGTGCCCTGGTAGGTGAGAGGGAGTGCGTGGCTGGGGGTGGGGGGTGGGGGTGGGCCCAGCAGGTCACTGGCCGGTCCAGGGACCCAGCTTGACCCACCGCGGGTTCATCTCAGGGTGCTCAGTGGTTAAAACCTCAGACCGAGCTAGGTTGAGGCGTGACCTTGTGGTATTCCTTTCCCAATCCCAAGGGGGCTGTGGCATGGGTGCCCCTGGGGTGTTCTTGCGTGCTGGATATTCACACCAGTTTCCTGTTCCCTTCTTCCCCCGGGCCGGGCAGTGGATGGAAACTGGAATGAATGGTCCAGCTGGAGCACCTGCTCTGCCAGTTGCTCCCAAGGCCGCCAGCAGCGGACTCGAGAGTGCAATGGTCCTTCCTATGGAGGCGCCGAGTGCCAGGGCCACTGGGTGGAGACTCGAGACTGCTTCCTGCAGCAGTGCCCAGGTCAGGATGCCCTCTCAGGGCTCAGGGGAAAGGGTGGGGCCCCCTGGGGAGGTATGGCTGTGGGGGGTGTGGGGGGTGGTATAGGGTGGAAGTGGCGGCGTTAGAATGTAGGTCAGGTCAGGGTATTAGGATGAAAGGACAGGGTGGTGGAGGTGGGATTGGGGTACAGGGTGGTGTGGCAGGGTCAGGGTGCTGGTTAGGGTGTCGGAGACGAAGTACAGGATGGAAATGGTAGGATCAAGTGCAGTTTAGAGTGGTGGGGTTGGCTGGAGGGTTCACCAGGTTCAGGATGGAGTAGTGGAGTCCAGGTCAGGTGGCAGACTTCAGCTGCACAAGACATCCGGTTTCTTTTTTGAGTCAAGCTGATTTTAGACCTCTTCTCCACTGATCTCAATTTTCTGTCTCCTTACGGCCCTGCCCCAACACTCCTGGCCTTTTGTCTTTGTCTCATCGGAATACTGGTTTTTTTGTTTTTGTTTTTGTTTTTGTTTTTGTTTTTGTTTTTGTTTTGTTTTGTTTTGTTTTTATCTGCCTGGTCCCTGGCCCCTGGCCCCACTTCCCTACTGATCCTGGGTCCTGCCTCCGCTTCCTGTCATCTGTGCCCTGTGATTGGCCACCCGTTGCAGTGGATGGCAAGTGGCAGGCCTGGGCATCATGGGGCAGCTGCAGCGTCACATGTGGGGGTGGCAGCCAGCGACGGGAGCGCGTCTGCTCTGGGCCTTTCTTCGGGGGAGCCGCCTGCCAGGGCCCCCAGGATGAGTACCGACAGTGTGGTGCCCAACGATGTCCTGGTGAGACCCTTCCCACTGCATACTAGCTCGGAGGGACCGGGAAGAACTGAGTGTCACAGCCCCTCATCCCAAACCCTGTCCACCTCACTGTCTGGCCCCTCACAGAGCCCCATGAAATTTGTGACGAGGACAACTTTGGGGCCGTGGTCTGGAAGGAGACCCCAGCTGGAGAGGTGGCCGCAGTCCGGTGTCCCCGCAATGCCACAGGTAAAAAGTGGTCGTCTGAGAGGCCCTGCTCTGTCTTTATACAGCTCTCTTCACAGGCCTTGTCTGAGACTGAAAGCTCATGCAGCTCTTGTGTGTTCGTGCCAAATGGCACCAGATGGGGCACCATGGCAGCCGTTGTGTCCTGAGTTCACAAGGGTCAGGGCGCACCCATGCCCTCTGCCTGAGAGGTCCCTTTGAGCATAGATAGTTCTGTGAACCTGATGCCATTGCCCCTGTACAGGTGAGAAGCAGGCATAGGACAATCAACATACCTACTACTCTGGGCTTGCACTCTACAGGAGAGAAGTTGCCTTTGAACACCAGTAGTTATAATCAATCCCATGTCATCCCTGGGGACTGATGGGGTGCTTTCAGAGGGTATGAAAAGCAGGGTGGACTCCATGGGGAAGGGGCCTGCCCGCACACAGGCACTGGTCTTCTTCACTTTGTTTGAAAGAGCGTGAGTAGTGTCCATACCTGGGAGGCTGCAGGGAGGGAGGTTGGGAACCCAGTTCAAACCCCGACTCTGCCCTTGTTTGCCGTATTGCTTTTGGGAAGTGACTTAGTTTCTCTGAGCTTCAGTTTTCTCTTCTATAAAAGAACTTCAGGTGATCCTTTGCATTGGGCTGCTGTGAGCAGTGGGTGAAGTGGCCCACAGGGGCAGGGGTGGTGGCAGTGGGTGCTGAATATTGCAAGCCATGCTTGCTGCCCTTGTCCTTAGTGACACGTTCTTGCAGACATACTGCAAACCCAGAGAAACAGAATAAAGACAACGCCCATCCCTCACGGTATCTTTCCCTGGCCCTTTTCTACCTTCATAGTCACACTGTGTTTCCTTCATTTTTTCCTCCCATCTAAGTTCATAGCCCAGGCTTCTGCATCAGGCCACCCTGTGGGTCCTGTCTGGTGACAGGGCTGGAACCATTCTATGTGGCTGTCACCCTGAACTTACTTACTCTGCTGCCCCTGCTCAGAAATCTTTCTGGGGGGCGGGTGTCCTTCTATCTGAGAGTGAGCTTGTGTTTCAGGCTATTGATACCAAGTGGCCCCAGGAGGCTGCACCAGTGTTTGGGGTGGGCAGCAAGTCCCATGAAGTCCTGTGAATGTGCCAGGGCAGGGCAAGAGGCTATGGGACAGCTGTCCCTAAGTCTCTAGATTTCAAGGAACTCCAAGAGAGGCTGTGGCTGTACCCAGAAGCCCCTGCTTAGCTGAGGACCCCACCTCCACACAGCCAAGTTCCTGAAGGTCTGATGCCTATTGGTCCCCAGGTCCTCAGGTCCCCAGGACCTAGAGTAGGGCTGAAGTATGTACACATAGGAACAAAGAGAGCATGGCTTGATTCGAGGTCCCTAGGGTCCTAAACAGAGCACTCCTGCCCAAGAATTGTGGGTGGGACCCCAGAGCTCCTTGGTGAGCAGTCACGTGAGGAATGGAGTTTTCTCCAGGCCTCATCCTGCGCCGCTGTGAGCTGGACGAGGAAGGCATCGCCTACTGGGAGCCCCCCACCTACATCCGCTGTGTCTCCATTGATTATCGGAACATCCAAATGATGGTGAGGCTGGTCCTGGGGGGCGCTCAGGAAACTTCCCCACTCTTTGAACGTGAGGTTGGGGCTGTAGGGGACCTCCAGGCATCGGAGGTCCCTGGCCCTCCACCTGGATGTATCCTGCAGCAGCAGTGACGGCATCCCGCCCTCTCCATCTCCCCAGACTAGAGAGCACCTGGCCAAGGCCCAACGTGGGCTGCCAGGGGAGGGGGTCTCGGAGGTCATCCAGACACTGCTGGAGATCTCACAGGATGGCACCAGCTACAGCGGCGACCTGCTCTCCACCATCGACGTCCTGAGGAACATGACAGAGATCTTCCGCAGGGCCTACTACAGCCCTACACCGGGGGATGTGCAGGTGGCTCCCAGGGGAAGCCTGGGGGAGGACACTTGGGGAAATATCAGAGGAACCAACCCAGAGCCCAGTCAGAGACTAAGTCCCAGTGTTGAGTGTGGGCGGGGCTGTGATCCCACTGTAATCGTGAGCTTTAAACGTGGTTACATGCCGAATCCTGGCCTGGTCATGGGATGATCCCTGCTCCAGGTCATATAGTGAGTCCCGATCCAAGTTATATCCTGAGTCCTGATCCTGGTCACAATGACCTCTGACCCCGATGGTAGACTGAACCTTATCCTTGGTTAAAGACCGAGCCTTGACCCAGATCATATTAGTCATCATCCTGGATCCTGCTTATACACTGAGCCCTGTCCCTGCTCACACATTGAACCATGCCTTGGTCACACACTGAGCCGTGCCTTGGTCACACACTGAGCCCTGGCCTTGATCACACACTGAGCCCTGGCCTTGATCACACACTGAGACCTGGCCTTGGTCACATATAAGCCCTAACTTTGATCACACACTGAGCCTTGGTCTGATTCTGGCTACACTCTGCGCTCCAATCCTGATCCCACCCAGCCTGGATCCTGGCCACTGACTGTGTCCTGCTCTTGGTCATCCACTGAGCCCTGGTCCTAGTCTAAACTGAGCCCTTATCCTAGTCATAGGTCGAGCTTTTCCCTTCCTCACACACTGATGCCTTGCTCCCTTTCACTGGCCCTCATTTCCAGAACTTTGTCCAGATCATCAGCAACCTGCTGGCCGAGGAGAATCGGGACAAGTGGGAGGAGGCACAGCTGGTACGTGTGGAGGTCTGGAGCCCCCCTGGCGTTAGCCACAGGATCAGGATAAGAGCAGGCAGCTCTAGGCCTCCTACACTCCAGGCCAGCCATGGTGGGGCCTTGCCGAGTCTTCTGTATGAGTCTCAACACTGCTTCCTGTCGATTACAAGACCTTGAAAAAGCCACTAAACCCCATAGGCCTTGTTTCCCCACCCATGAAAGCACAGTGGCTTTTCCCTGGGCCTGAATGAGGAGAGCAGGAAACTATGTTAAGATCACTGGGTATGTCCAGAGGAGGGGGTGTGGTGAGTCTTCTCCAATCTTCTCTCTTCCTTCCAGCAGACCTCAAACCTGCTGCCACCCTAACCCCAGGGCGTAACCCTCACGGTGAATATTTGGAACACTTTCCCTTCCTACAGCTTAGGGACCCCCGTGGTGCCCGCAGCAGCTTCTCTGGGCCTCTGACCTTATCCGTAAAATGCAAATGGACCCTCAGAGGTCAGCTGCCTGCTGCCCTGCTTTGCAAAGGAATGACCCATTGGGCCTAGAAAAGGAGATAGCAGAGGAGGGGAGGGGCCAGGAGGAGAAGGGAGGGCGCAGGTACCTCCTCCAGCTCGAGTTCCTCCACCTTTCCCTACCCCAGATGGGCCCCAATGCCAAGGAGCTCTTTCGGCTGGTGGAGGACTTCGTGGATGTCATCGGCTTCCGCATGAAGGATTTGAGGGATGCCTACCAGGTGACCGACAATCTGGGTAAGCAACCTCCATGGCCTGGTCCTGTGCCTTTGGGCCCGGTCCCTGCCTTATTTTTCCCATCTGTAAGGAACAGATGACCCCACCCTTCTGCAGCCACTGGCTGCCATTACCTATTAGCCTGGGGCTTAGGTCAAGTCCAGGGGGTTGATATCCAGAGCCCTTTGGGACCTGAGATCCAGGCAGAGACGTGGAGATCTCATGCCAGGGACACATGCGGGAGCCCAGCCACCTCTGGGGCTGAGGCCCCCTTTGTCCTGTCACCCCAGAGCCACCTCTGCAGCTGCTGTTTCTCTGCCCTCCAGTTCTACAAAGCCTAGGAGCAGTGGGGCAGGCATCTGCCTGGTTGCAGTCTCATCCTTCCTGTATTTTAAGAGTGGAGCTGTAGACTGGTCAGTGGACCTGAGGGTGACTGGTAGCTGTCCTCACAAATAGACACCAGTGCTTGAGATGACCCGCTATCTAGGCTCCAGCTCTGCATCCCCTGAGGATGCGACTCTAGCCTCCCACTCTAAATCTTTTCCCAGCACCTGGCTTTACTCCCTCACCAGCTCTGTCCCCAGCTCATTCACCAGTGACCACTCTTCTAGCATGAAGCCACTGTGTTCTTGCCTTGGAGTCCCCACTGCACCCTAGACTGATACCTGTCTCTGCTCTAATTCCCTGCCCTACCTCCACCAGGTCACACTTCAGACTAACTTGGCCCTTCTTCCTCACTGGGTCTCTTGCCTACCTACCTGACCCTCCAGCCTGGCCCCAGGCTCCATCAACCTTTAGCACCAAGCCTTTCCCCAAGCTCCATGCCTGTGGCTTCATCTTTTCAAAGCTAGTTGAGTCAAAAGCGCCCAGTGTCCATCTGAGCCTGCCATGTCTTTATTAGCCTAGCCTGGGGCCCTGATTTAGCTTCCCCTCACAGGACCTAAGAGTCACATGCTTCTGCCTCTGTACCTCCCTGCCTTCCACCCACAGGACCATCTTTTGGAAGGTGGCTGCCACATTCAGACCTCACCCCTTGCTCTCTGCCACTTCTAGGCTCTTTGCTTCCTTCCCTCTCCTCTCCCTGGGCGATGTCCCTCTTTTTCCTGTCCTCTGCAGTGGCTTCCTGGCTACCCTGTGTGGGAACATCACCCCCCTTGGTTGCCACTACCGACAGGCCATGTCCCCATTCCACGTGCACACGCAGAGGGTTCTGCTGCCCACTTATCTTTCTCAGCATGTAATGGCCGTGAGCATGCAGTTGGGGCTCAGAAACATGTGCCAAGTGAGGTGGTATGTTCATTCCCTGGGAAGCCTCAGCAGCACCAAGGGCCAGCTGGGTGCTGGCATTCAGAGGGAGGCCTGTCTCTGTCCCCATGGCCTCTGGTAAGGCAGATACTTATGGAACACTATGGGAGGACCCTCATGTTCCCAAGGCCTCATGGTCCGAAGGAGGACAGGACCAGGTAGGTGGGGAGGCTGCTGAGCCTGGCCAGGCAGAGTAGGCGAGACAGATCAAAGGCAGAAGGCACAGGGACCATGCCTGGGGTGCATGGCTGCATGTCAGCAGCTCCCTCTCTCCCACAGCTTTACAAGTAACCCCAGGCTGTGGTACTGGTTGAAGGGTAGGATGTGTGCCTAAGGTGGGTTATAGAGCCTGGATGGAACTGGAAAGGCGACCTCACTTAGTAGGGACCTCCCTTTGCCTCTCAGCCCTGTCCTCCCGGCCTTGGATCGCTGGGCCAGTGTGCATGTGGTGGAGGAAGATGGGGTAGCAGGCAGGGAAGTCCTCTAGGATATCTCCTAAAGTAGAGAAGGGACCATCCTGCTGAGGTTGGTGCTAGACTGGATTGGTCTGCCTCTGGTAGAGGCTTGCCAGGCCAGAATACAGGAGAATAGCATCCGACCTGACTATACTACCCAGGATTCTCCCTCCACACCTGCTGCCCCTCCCTCATAGAGACCTCCCACCCAAGTAGAGAGACCTTATGCCTGAAGCTCAGCCACTCCCCTCTCTATATAGAGGGAGAAGAAGGTGGAGAGTGGGTCTCAGAACGGATCCATGACCACAGTGAGGTAGGGGAATGAATACTGGGACCGCGATGGGTGCCTAGCTCCTGTAAATCCTTCTGTGCCCGCAGGATCCGCCTTTGACTTTTTCCTGACCACAGTGGCTAAGTCTGAGCCTCGATGCTAACTAGGCTGGACAGGGCCTGGTCAGGTTTGAATCACTAAGAATAAGACTTCCAGCCGGGCGGTGGTGGCGCACGCCTTTAATCCCAGCACTTGGGAGGCAGAGCCAGGCGGATCTCTGTGAGTTCGAGGCCAGCCTGGGCTACCAAGTG